TCGTCATAACCAATTTCATGTAAAATTTCCAAAGTATGTTTACCTGGCATCAAAAATATACTGCTATCACTACTGCTGCTGATACTTTTACTGGTACTGCTGTTATTACCAGTTGATATTAAATTTAGAGTAGATTTTAAAGATAAGGGCGAATCAGTGAGTTCTAATACAGGTGTGACACATGAATCAGTGTTATGAAATATTTCAGTCCATTCGTCTTGAGTCTTAGATTTAAAAACTTTTTGAAATAATAATTTCATTTCTTTCCATTTTGATTGATCATATTGTTGAGATAGTAATAATTCTTTGTTTTCTAGATTTAAATTTTCAATTAATAATTTATAGAATTTAGGCTCAAGTGCGCCACTAAAAATAATAAAATTAGATGAATAATTTAAAATAAAATAAATAACAAACAACATATATAAACCAGCATTTACGCACACGGCAATATATTTATTATCTTTAGTTTGATAAACTTCATAAAAATGAGCACCACCATCCAACAAGTTTTCACCTCTCATATTATTAAACAGTGAACTAGAACCTTTTTTCATTAAATATGAAAATGTCGCTAAATATTTTACTCCATCAACCTATTATTAATAAATAAATGTGAGTGAGGGGTATCAAAAGTCTTAAGGGAAAATTATCGGGGGTTCCGAAACTTTCAAACAATTAATTACAATCAGTTAAATACCATTGAAGAATCAACAATTATTTTTCCAATTCCAGTAATTGATCTTTCAATTAGTGCTAACAAAATTCCAACGACACAAATTAATCCACCACCAGCAAAATCAGCTTTAATTAAATAAATAGTAAATTAATATCATTATTAATAAATTATATAATAATAAATTTGTTGATTGAATTTACCTAATAAATTTAATGGAAACATTGGGTTTTCACCTTTACGTCCAAGGAGCTTTTCAAAAATATATATAAGCACACACATATTTTATATGTCGCCTAAAATACATAATATTTACCGATAATACACCAGATATAGCAAGATAGTTTATATCATGACCTGCCATCTTTGAATATTTTCCTAATTAAAAAAAAATATATCCCCCAATTAATAAATAACTCATTCAGAGATATTTTTCACCTGTTAAATAAATAATTCACCTTCTTGACCAAATCCAGTCAATCTGGCATAAATTAATTTCCCATTTATTTCAAACAATTCATCAGGCCCTAATCCTAATTTTTCCATTATGCCTGGACGGAATGGTTCGATCAGTACATCAGAATTTCGAATTAGTTTTTTAAATATTTCAATACCAATCGGATTCTTTAGATTAATTGAAATTGATCGTTTGTTTCTGTTTTATTATTAGAAGTAGTATTGGATATATTAGAAATGTTAGATGTTGATTATTAAGTATTGATATTATCATAGTAATTATTTAGAGTCACTTTGCAAAACCTTGCTAATACATCTATATTGTTATACTCTTCTTGTTTTTCGTAATATTCATCTACTCTAATGACATTTGCTCCAAAATCACCCAGCATCATTCCTAACAATTCATAATTCATAATTCATTAATTCCTGAAGCCAATTTCCAGAAGGAAAATCAATTAATTGCATTACCAGCAAAAGGTGCAGGAGCTAAACCTGCAAGTTCAACAACTCTTAAACCTACGAGTGATAATATTGTCATTTTACTTGATTAAAATCCGTATATTTCGTGATTCTCATGTGATATGTGATATTGTTTAAAAAAGTTTGCACGACATAAATTAATTCCTTATATAGGACGGTCTCTCCTGTTTAATCAAATGTCACATACTCGAATTGTTTCAATTGTGCTGCCTTGACATCTTGTAATTAATAATTAATATTAATATTGATTATGCAAAGAAAAATACCAAATCGTTCGTTGTTGATAAGGGATCTTGTAATTACCCAGCAAGATCTGTTCCATATTTTGATTCCAATTAAAATATTTATAAATTTATAAACTAAAGGACACCACATTATATCAATACAAAGAAAAAGTACCTCTGTCATTAACATGTCTTCTTTAGGAGACTCGCATTTTGTTTGCGAAAAAATAGTGTCATACGGGCCAATTTTTTTGATCGACATCCTGTGTCATTTAAAAATTGATTATTTTTATATATTAAAATCACAAGTCATCATACACGAATCTATAACGCACATAATAATCACTCTTGTGTTCCTAAGTAAAGATATTCTCCTACGACCTTTAAATATAGTAGTAATAAGAATCCCACTTAAAAAGAAACCAATAAAAAAGAATTCCGTTTCAAAAATTACGTTTATAATAGTAATACAGTTAATTATTTATATATATATATCTAAAAATAAATAATGATCATCAAAATGTAACGCCCACGTGTCATTAATGCTTTTTTCTTTTGCCGATCGAACAAATTGGCCCATATGTTAACAAAAAAAATCTTTGTACAACACCAAGTGCCAATAATAAATGAGTTTGTCGATCAAATCAACAACTCTTTTCTTTTCATATTTATAAAAATGCCATAAAAATGCCACCACCTAAAAGAAACAAAAATAAGAGAAAAGCAGAAGAAACTCAAGAAAATATTGCTGGGCAAGTGCTTTAAGAATGGTAATGGTGGTTATCGCCACTCATCATCACTCTAGTTATTAAGTATATATGGAAAATATGTGCTCAGTTTATCATGTAGTTATTATAACTGCTTGCTTTTAATTCATTTTGTTTGATTTAGTGCCTCTCCCATGTAATTACCACCACTAAAGAATCTAATAATTGTGATGAAGTAAGTACCATTGCTATTGTTTTTCTTTTGTAGTTCTAGGACATATGCACAATGGAGGATGAATACATGGATCATTTTGGAGAAGGAATTGGCTATGTACCTTCCTTATGGTAAAAAACCTTACTCCCTTGCATTTTACTACTATTACAGGAAAAAACGAAAGAAAAAGAAAACATAATACCAAAGGTCTCAGCTTCAACTTCTAAAAAAAGAAAGTTTGATGTCATCAAAAAATTCGTTTAGTAAGTATACATGTTTGCAAAAATTCAAATTTGAAACAAATGGATTTTGAACCATCCAAGCTGATTACTTTTTTCTCCAGAGAAATTCTTGGAAGGCACTGAAGTGAATGAGTATACCAACTGCTACATTAATCCTGAAAAGACAGTAAAGAATCTGGGTCAGAAGCTCATGGATGGACTCTATATCTTTGTAGAGGGACACCATCAAAGTGGCAAGATGACATCTGTTACAAGGTTGGGTGCCAAAAGTATTTTGGAGGGTAGAAAGTATTTCAGCAAATGATAAGTATTTTTGCCGAAAGTGACAAAAGTGATAAAGCATCAAAAGTGACAAAATATTGAAATTAATGAAAGTATAAATTCAAACTTTATTTTAAAAATAATAGAATTATTTAAAACAAATTTTTAAGCATTTTTATTTCTTGTTTTAGTAGAAATTATTACTTCATATTCATCATTGGCTTCACAACTTTTTTCAAAATCTGTAGAATCATGTAATAATTGTTAGTTTTCTTCTGGTTGGTTGAAATGCTTCTTCATTTACTATTTCTGAAAATAAATCCTCATTCATTGATTCTTGAACTAATCCTAATGTATCATAATCTAATTCATTACTATCATCACTGTAATCTCCTCATCTATATCCTCATACATTTTATCATTGTCTTCTAAAAAAAAATTATTTTCCAAATCCATAATATCATGAATTTCTAAATCTGTCAAATTAATTTCATCATCAACATAATTATTACTTTCATCATTATTACCTTTCATCATCATTACTTTCATCATCATCATCTGAAATAACTTCTGCTTCAACCAACATACTCTTTAAATCCTTTTCTGTTAAAGTTTGACCAGTATATAAGGCTCCGAACGAAACGAAACGAAACGAATTTGAGAGTGATTCGAATCAAACCGGATTCCTAAAATTTTTTTAACGTCATATTAAATTTATATTACACAGTGAATCTCAATTAGTGTGCCTCAATTTAATGAATACCAACATCAGGAAACTTTTCCCGCCATAATATTACATCCGTAAGTTTTAATATGAAATGTCGTAATATTACGCATAAAAAGGACATAATATTTACACTGAATGTAATAATTGCGTAATTTTTGCGTAATTTTTGCATAATATTACACTATTTACGTAAGTTTACGGCGGGCCCCGTAATATTACGCAAATTTGCGTCAGAAAAAATTTCCTGATGAATGGATTGAGGTCTAAGAATGGTTTAATGATAATAAAATTCTTCTTGATATGACATTTATTCGAATTTTTAATAATAACGTATTTGATATTAATATTAATGGTAGTGTGACTATATTATTAATAATGAGTAAAAAAATGACACGATTTTTTTTTACAGCGGTCGCGTTTACTTCGTCGAAAATTATTTCTTCGACAATCATTTCGTCGACACCCATTTCGTCGAAAGTTTGTTCCATCGAATGTTCATTTTGTCGAAAGTTCGTTTCGTCAAATGTTCATTTCGTCGAAAATTATTTCATCCTCAAGCCAGAGACCGAACGAGCTAGATGTGAGGAGTGTGGGAAGTTAATTAAGAAATTAGGTGAGGAAAGCGGTGTGTGTGGGAAGTGTGAGGAGAAATTTGTTTAATGAAGTTTTTTTTTTGTGACGAAATAATTTTCGACGAAATAATTTTCGACGAAATGAACATTCGACGAAATGAACATTCGATGAAACAAACTTTCGACGAAATGGGTGACGACGAAATGAATCAGACCCGCTACGCCAAAGCCAGTTGTCATAGGATAAAAATTAATACAAATCCATTTTCAACACATATCCAATCATTTAGTTAAAAAAATTACAAAGTTATTACAAAAAAAACTTATAAAGTCCCAAGTAGTTTTATAATAAATATAATAAATAAATTGGCGCTTTATATCAATTGTTTTAAGAAATATTAGTGGCTTTAACTTGGATTATTCAAATATCAGAAAGCTTCAGGTTTCTAATTCAAAATTTATACTAATTTCATGAATTAAATATTAAGAAATTACTATTAAACTGATGAAATACAGTAACAGTATATAACAAATTCAAGGATTTGTAATTCAGTACAATTTTGCAAGCAAATAAAATAAAAGTATTTCATTTTTTGATGAACTTGCCTCTATTAACAAGTGCTACTTATTATTTATATATTAATATTGTATGACTTATCTATTCTTTATTTTTTTGATATTATTATCTTGTATATGTATTTTACAAGAAAAATTATTATTATTATTTTTATCTAATATATATATATATTAATCCTTCTATCTATTATTATTTAGTGACAGACCCATTAGTAAGAAGTTGTTGACTTTCTTCTTGCCAAGGACCATCATCAGTAAATTTGCAACCATTTTTACAATTACATTTTCCACCAAAAGCAACTGGTAAATTTTCAGCTGGAATGTTTTCCAATAAAGTTTGTTGATACTTGCTATTTAAAATTATAATCTTGGCAGTTGTAACCTCATCAAGCAATGGTTTTACTAAACTCCAAACAGAAGAGAAGAGCATTGGAGCATTAATAATATAAAATTTACCCATACGTTCAGGATAATAATTTTGACCAATGTTAGATGCTTGTTTCACAAATCCGAAAACATTAGAGAATGATCGAATAGAAACACCTTTAAGATCCAAAATTGTACATGTTGTCTCAATAAGTTTACCATGTTTAAATGAACAAGCTGGTAGTCTAATATCAGCAAGTCTCTCATACTCGACCACCAAATTTTGAATCTGTCGTTCAATTGTGGTAACTTGATATAAAGATTTGATATCAACTCTACCAATTTCTTCAATATAAATAGGACGACCATCGTTATCAGTTTTGTGATAATATCTTGGATAATGTTTCATCACTTCTTCACGTTCCTTATAATCAAATGTCCTGACCAACTCATCAACACCAAATTCTTTTCTCCAGTTCTCACAGTCGATAAACATTTTTTTGGTTTTAATCAAATCGAATTTTCTTGCTCTTAAAAACCTGAGTAAATAAGCATCATCATGTCGCTTCTCATCAAACACACCTTCATCTTTAAGTTCTTGCCGAAACTGTTCTAATATTTCTGTTTGTTGTGGATTTAAATTTTCAAGATGTCCTGTAAATTTTTGTATTTGCACTTCGGTATTGACTGATTGCGGCATTTTTTTAAAAAAATTGTAAATAAAAATGATTTTTGATTATATTAATTTTTTTTTAAAAAAATCGAGAGTTTATGGTAATATTTATAAATTTATCAATAATTTTTTTAAAGGGTATATAATTATATTTTTTTATATAAAAAGAATGAAAAAAAATTTTTTAAAAAGAAAAATGGATGAATTTTTAAATTTTTTATGATCAATGTTCGCTTTGTTCCTACAACTATTTATAAATAAATTTTGATACAAACAAAATTTTCGAAAGGTTACACGGCACAAATTTTATTTGTTGTTGTTTATTATGTTTATTATGTTTGTTATTACATTAACAACACGAATCATTTACACGGACGGACTTTGCAGGAATGGTGATCAGATTTTGTTCTCTAATTACCTACAACAGGTTTTTTTATATCAATCAAGGAATTATAACTAAAAGAAACATCGCCATTGTCCTCTAACCAAAAATATCATCATCTATTTTATCATCCCAACATAAATTATTATTACCACCAATACCACCTTCCACCACCACCTCCTCTTCATTCAAACCTAAATCAAACACGGCGTGAACTTTAATCATCCAATTGAAGGATGAAAAATGAAAATATTTTTAGAATAATTTTCAACAGATAAGATTTAAGTTATTTCTAATATTTTGATGAAAACTTGATATTAAATATATTCCGCCGTAAAATAAATCAATATGATTTTAACGAAAAAACTAATTGTGATTTTGTGAAAGTAACACGTACATATTCACAGTCATTCATTGTATTAACAAATTAAGAAAAAGGATTTCCATTATTCTTATAACTAGAAAGTCACCACAGTACAGTTCACTCTATATATAACGGGCCATTTGGCTTAGGAAAAAAATATTTGTTATAGAGAAAATCCGTTATAGATAATAATAATTTATATATGGGCTTAAATTCAGTCCGTTATATAGCAAGTTCCATTATATAGAAAGCGAACTGTATTCATGTATTAAGTATAGATAGATTACACAAATTTTAACATAAAAATTTAAAAATAGAAAAGTGTTATTATTATGATCTGTAATGTGTGCCTTCGGGACCAGTGATTATAAAAAAGTATATATTAAATATATAGAATAAAAAGATTCTAAATTTCCTGGAGTTGCTTGAAAAAAAAATCTCAATATTTTTTAAATTATTTTCGTCAAATTCCAATGCTGATCAAAAACATTATTATTAGTTATAATAACTTCTGGTTCACCAACATTTTCCTATCCATTATTTACATTGTATATTTCATCTAAGATCATTCAAACTATTTAAAGGTTCTTTTGTTAAACTCGATTCATTATATAATTGCTCGCTTTTGGAAAAAAACGACCATTTCATTTAAGTTCAAGTAATTTTGGATATACAGTAATTTCGGCAGTTATTAAAATTCATTACGGCTAATAATCTTGGAATTTCAGCTTTGTAAATGATCATATATTAATATTAAGAGGGCAAATTCATCAATACAATATATCCAAGATTTGATTGATTTAATGATTCAATTATTGATTTAATTTGTTGCAATTGTTTCTCCATTGGTTTTTGATAAAATTAACAATTATATTTTGTTTTATAGCATCTCATGCTTCAATTGCTTCTTTTATTATATATAAATTTTAACAAAAAAGCCAAATAAAGCCAACTTTTCGAAAAAAAAAATTTTTCTCAATTTAAATTGTCTGATAAGATCACGAATATACGCTTGTTTGCAATTAGCTTAAAATAATAATTAAATTTATAATATCAAATATATTTTAGGCTGTAAATGAGCAGTTGTATTTAATGGCAAAAATAAATTTCTAAAAATTTCAATGTAATAACTTTTTCTTGAATAAAGAAATAATAACAAGCTTCAACTTGATAAACACATCAAACCAAACTCTAAACCATTCGCTGGTAAAAGGCTTATTTAGTCTGATCCACTTCATTGCCGTCAATTATTTCGCTCTCTCGTCCATAATTGGTGGCATCTGTAAAACATTGCATGTAAAAATCTTATTATAAATAAATTTGTGTAACAATATCAAAAAATTTCTTTAGAAACCAATGGCAGTTCTAATCGTGGTAGACAATTTACAGGTGTATGGAGACAATCTATTCAAGTTCAAAAAAGAGGAAAACAAAAGTATGTTCTGAATGTAAAATTAAAAAATCAAGAGAGTAGAATACAATATCTGAAAAAGAAGAAATTGAAAAAAAGGACATATGGCGATTTTCTATCCAAGCTCCATCGTGAACTTAATTTTATTGGAGTATGGCAAAAAGGTTCGCGAGGGAAAATTGTGCATGGTTTATCAATTAAAGTACTTTGCCTATGCTGCAGAATATACTGTAAAGAAGCATCATTCTTATTGAAGAATTCCTAACAATGTATTGCATGAAATTGGGTCTATTTATTTTTTATTGCTTTAATTATTATTTATTGGTATTTTATTGGTAACTAACTACCTTTAGAATTAGTTCAGTTAAATAAAATCTTCAAATTGTTTATTTTTAAAGTAAACCATGATAACGTGACATATTAGTTAATATCAATGAACTTTATTAGTGGCTTTAAACTAACGATTTTGTTTTTTTGGTCTTACATTTCCATTTTGGAGGAAATTACAGGATATGGAATGCGTGCGACTAGGATATATTGATAATACAAAGGAAATAACCCTTATCGAAAGGATATATATATATTAAACCGATTATATCAAAAATGAGCCAATAAAACTATGAAAGATTGGTAGACGAAGTTCAGAAACTACCAGTCACCTTTTACAACGACTATTCGTAGAAACTGTAGTAGTAAGTATCAACATTTCAACGGAGCTCGATAACGTGGAGGTCCTGACTTTACTCTGAATTGCTAACCCTTCCCCACGATGCATTATTTTATTTTAGTATTTGGTTTTGTATTTGCATTCATCATTTACAGTTATTCAACCCTATTAATGTTTGTTACGTCATATTCGGGCAACTAAATTGCTGGTATTGGTCATTTAGTTATTTGGAACTTTGATTTTTTTGACAGCAGCTGACAATATCGATGATCATTTTCACAAAAACATCTCCAACAGTAAGCATTTTGTTTTCTTTATCAGGAATTATGCTTATATATAAAGATCTCTTCCGGTTTCAAGTTTTGAAGGATTCGCATCAAATTTTATCCAAAGCATCAGATGAATCGGAAATCAATTCACGAAAGAAAATCCTATTAATATTAATATTATTAATTGCGTGCAGCAAAAAATCTTGATTTTCAAATTTTTTTAATGACCAAATAAATACCCTCTTTTATTTGAATTGAAAATGTTTATAATAATGGGAAATTTCGGCTCGAAATGCGAATTGTTCGACTTTAGCCATTTTTTTTAAATGCATGTTATTTATTTACAAAGAAATTTTTTTAAAAGTCCAATCGTTTATTTTAGATTTTATAATCATCAAAAATATGGAAAATCGCTTCGAGTCAATTACTTCATATTCAAAATTTAGTCTGGTCCATGCAATGCATGCATCATTGTAAGTATTTAAAAGAATGAAATTTTGTAATTTTATTGGTTTTTCATGTAAAAATTATAAATGAATAAATTAAATTAATAAATTATTTTAGCACATATTACTTTACATATTTAATAAAATATTAGTCTGTATATAACATTATAAATTTTTTCAAATAAATTAAATATTTGGAACTTCATTATCAACCACATCAGCTAAATCTATCAATTTATCAGCATCATCTTCAATTTCTTGTAAATTTTCTCTATCATCTTGTTGTTGAACTGATGATATAGAATTTATGTCTGAAGAAAATGTCTGATTACTATTAAAATTGACTGTTGTAGCTAAACCTTTTTTATAATACTTGTCATACGAATCATGAAATTGATTGCAACCAAAATCTTGTTTGATTAGCATTAATAATTTCCAATTATGCCTTACACAATTGAAAGATTTACATTATTTTGTATTATTATAGCAATAATAGCGCAGTAAACTCGTCAATTTTCACCCGTCCTTCTCAAGATTCACCATGAATAATAGAAAAGGACAGGGGACGGGTCGCTGGGTTATCCAGTAAACTTATATATTGTGATCTTTTAAATCCATTTAATGGTTGCAAATCAGATAGTTCCATTATATTGTTGTTTGTTAAAACTAAAGTAGTAAGGTTGGGTAGAAATTCAAATAGTTGTGGATCTAGTCGATTAATTCGATTATTGGCTAATGATAGCGTACAAATATGACACAATAATGGTCATTGTCTGTTAGATCCTTTTCTTTTTCAAGAAAATTTATCGTAATTAATATTATGAACAAATGTATGATTTAACTCATTTGTAAATATATATTATATATATATGTAATTCATTATTTTTTCCAATCATCAATTACCTTTGATACACCAAGATTTTCTATAGCAGGAATTTTATTACCTATTAATAAAAAAAAAGAAAAAATAATTTTCAAATCAGGGGAGGGAACAATAAAAATAAAAAATTTATTAAAAATCCAGATTTATTATTTTTCTAAAGGATACCTTGTAGGTTTTAATTTGCGATCTTTTACAGTATTGATGTAAGATGGCGAATATTCAATGAATTCAGGTGTAAGTTTCATCGTATATGTTTTATATTAAACACCATAAATACAAAATAAAAAACTAACAAATAACTGTTGTATTGATAAGCTGATAATTATAACAAGAAAAAAAACCGAAAATTTTTTTTTAAATGTTGATCATATTACAAGTTTATTTTTTAATTTGCAAATCATATAAATTCAATTTCTTAAACACCATTAATCAACTCATTCGATCACTTTCTTTTGTTATTTCTTTCCAACCTCCTCATGGTTTTTGTTAATGATTGGTAGGGATCTTCTTTATTACGAACTGAAATATTTCTTGACAGGTTAAAATTGTCTTGATTTGAAGATCCTGCTAACTCCATATCTTCAATACTAAGATAATAACAATTTGTTTAATAAGTGTATATTTGTTATGAGAATAGTCTCCTAAAACAAACAAATAAATTTTAAATTTTCCTTACAATTGATTCGCTTGTTGTTGTTGTAAACTAATATTAGTATGATAAACAGTAGTAGGTATTAAAAGTAGAGTGTCAATAGTAGTAGCAATAAAATATTATTAATAATGAGATAAACAAAATTTATCTTAACTTAATTGCCTACCTTTCTTGATAGTGTAGGAGCTACTTCTCGATAATCATCACTTAATCCAAGTATTGATCTACTCCACTTTTCTACAAGTTGAGTAGCTAATTGTCTTATAGTTTCTGGACAACGTTTTGTCAATGTATAAAATAAACAAATCTTCCAATTTTACTTGCGAATAAATATTCAGTTGTAATAGGGTGCTTTTAATTAAATTTTTTGGTTTAAAAAAAGAATATTTTTTTACTAAACAAATTAATTATAATAAAAAAAACCAAGATTATACATACTTTACAAGCAGACTCAACATTTCAATTATTAATGTGATACTTGGTAGTGACCTACCAGGTAAAGGTTCCAGCAAATGCTTAATTGCAACCAAGATATTGCATTCAAGTAGTGCTTCTGCAAGGTATGTTTTGGATAATTGTGCCACTGCATCTTCCAAAAGGTCTGGTTTTTTAATACATGGTTGTTTACTTGCAATTCCTTTGACATCATTGTCATCAGCTTGGAACATAACTTTATATAGATTGGCAGCTTCATAATCATTCAACACATCCAAATTGATATATTTTTCTTTTGATTTTTTGCTGCTTTGTCTCTTTGGAAGAAATTCTGCAAAATCTTGATCAACAATCTTTCTCGACTCTAGCAAAAGCACCAATTCGTGATTTTTGGGTATAACCTCTTCATTTTCATTGATTTTATCAATATCAATTATAATAAAAAAAACCAAGATTATACATACTTTACAAGCAGACTCAACATTTCAATTATTAATGTGATACTTGGTAGTGACCTACCAGGTAAAGGTTCCAGCAAATGCTTAATTGCAACCAAGATATTGCATTCAAGTAGTGCTTCTGCAAGGTATGTTTTGGATAATTGTGCCACTGCATCTTCCAAAAGGTCTGGTTTTTTAATACATGGTTGTTTACTTGCAATTCCTTTGACATCATTGTCATCAGCTTGGAACATAACTTTATATAGATTGGCAGCTTCATAATCATTCAACACATCCAAATTGATATATTTTTCTTTTGATTTTTTGCTGCTTTGTCTCTTTGGAAGAAATTCTGCAAAATCTTGATCAACAATCTTTCTCGACTCTAGCAAAAGCACCAATTCGTGATTTTTGGGTATAACCTCTTCATTTTCATTGATTTTATCAATATCATGATCTTTTAATTGAGTTTTTCCTTTTTGTTCAGTTTTTTTCGTCGTACAGATCTTGTTGTCCACTACTACTAATGCTAGCATTACTTTCAGCAGGTATTTTTGTTTTTTCTTGCTTTTCATCAGGTTGCTTTTATCAAAATAATCATTATCTGAACCATCTAAAACATCAGAGCCAAATTCTGAATAACTATCCATAACATCTGAAAGCTCTTCACCGTCGTCTCCGAATATATCTACTTCATTTTATCTAGATTTATTTAAAGTTACTGATCTCAAGGTTTTGCTAGGATGTGTAAATGATGGAATTGGCATTTTTCTTAATATTTTTTGTTTAAATATTCAGTAATGATTAAAAAAAGAGGGAACATCGTGAAAAGTAGACATATTTGGTATTCAATTCATAGACTTTTATTTTATTGAACAATGATCGTCCAATATGTAAATTGTCTCTCTATACATTCCAAGTAGGACCTCGGATAATTATATTTGAACTGGTATCATTAAAATGAGTAGAAATTGGCTTTTTTTGAGAAACTGGTATGTAAAAACAGGGTAAAGCTAAAACAACTGGTGTGTAAAAATGGATATTGTAAAAATAAGTAAACATATCGATCCCGTGGAAACATGGACGACTGGTGAAACATAGTAATAGTAATAGTAATCTTTTATCCATCGTTTTTTTTTTTTTTTTTTTGACTAATAAATCTATAAATAAATCTCTATCTATTATTTCAAAAATAATTATTCAAATTATTAAATATTTTCTCTTATATACCCTTACTAGTTAATATATCTTTTTTTTTCAAAAAAAAAAAAGTCAAAATTATCGACAAGCTGGTATTTCTTACGAGCCACTCTAGTTTATCTATAAATAAAATGTCAAATAGAAAGAAAAGAGAAAAGGAAGAGGCAGCTCAAAACAAGTGTGACTAAGTATTGATTGTTTTGAGAGCCACTCCACCTGTGTAGCAGACACGTAAAACTTGATAAAGGTTTCTTTATTCATATTTTTTTATTCACGTTCTATTCTATTATTTCAATCCAATTTCTAATAATCACACTTCATTAATTTAAGGTATTATTAATATATTGAAACAATTGTCTGACCCAGATTAGAAGTTGGCACTACAAAAATTTTTTAATTGGCAAAAATTAAGAGTTAACCGGTTAACTGGTTAATTTTAAATTTAGTAGTATTAATATTAAAATGATTAATATTAAGTGATAGTAATAGTACATGCACTATCCAATCTAATTAAAAAATCTTTCTTTATAGTTTTACTTCTCCCTTGTAGTGATTATAATAATAGTATATAGTAGCAGAACTAAAATTTTCTTTTTTTTCTTTAATCAATGGTTGTAGTAATTGGTTTTTCCCCCTTTGTAGTGATAGTAATTTATTTACTTTTTCTACTAGCAAATAGTCCATAATAAACAATCAATAACGTGACATGTATGTATGTTTCATGATTGTTTTTCCTAAAAAATGAAAAAAGTCAAAATTATTCAAGATTAAAAAAAAACCTTGGATGAATATTCAATTAAATAAAAAATAAAATTTTTGGTAAATGTCCAACGTGTAATAGATATAATACTAATACTAATTTCTTATAATGTGAATCTTGTAATCCACAGTTATTAACTGAATGATGGACTATTAATAATGAAACAATAGATGAAATAATTAAAAGTACACAATGTAAAGTAATAGAATATGATAATTTAGTTTATCTCCAACGGATTCCTTATAATGATATAAAAAATATTGGTAAAGGTAAATTTGCAACCATATATAAAGCTACATGGATGAAAGGTTGGAAATATACAAAAAATGTTGTAAAGGTAGAATTGTTGCATTAAAAAAATTGCACATTTCAAATAATATTAAGTTTTCTTTATAAACACTATTAATTATTATTGTTAAATTAAATTAACACATGATTGTGATGCCCAATACCTAGCAGATGGAAGCCTTCAAGATTATTTATCAAAACAATTTAAAAATTTGGAATGGAAAAATAAGATAGAAATTCTTCATGGTATTATTCATTGTTTTAGAGCAGAGGTATCATTCATCATAATTTTCATAGTGATAATATTCTACAAAGTGGTATATTAATATAGTATTTATTCGATTTGGGATTATCAATTCCAGTCTATCAAACAAACTTGATACAATTGGGGTATTAATGTCAGTAATTTCAACAGGACTCAATCATTCAATAATATTGTACACGACTTAAACCTTGCAATAAAAATATGTGAACAAGACCTGCATTCTCAAATAATACTCCAAAATTTTGCATTGAATTAGCATATAGATAAATTTCCAACAGCTAAAGGAATTAAAGATACTATTGAGTTTTGGCTTGATTAATTTAGTGGTTTTTTAATAATTTTAGGCATTATGAATACCACTTTAACCTTGTTTTTAATTAATTTGAAAAGAATTTGATGAAATTGATAAGATTAAGTCTTATCCTTCAAACAATTACTGCAACTGTTCATCCAAATGCTATTTATACAAGCAGAATGTTAAATTTTACAAAACTTCCACAGCTTGGAAGCTCCAATAAATCCACAATAATTGGAAATAATAATAGTAATTGTCTAATATAAGTAAGGTTCACTTAATTAACTGTCAATTATTACTAATCTACAGTACCTGGAAGAAAGTATCCGAACGCAGTTTTTCGAAAATTCCGCAAAATATTACATAATAAAAAAATAAATAAAAAATGTCATTTTGTAGCTTAGGTTCTTATGGTTATGCATATGAAATTTAAAGTTTTTTTTATTATCTAGAACTTTTTTAATTTTAAAAAAGCAAAATCTGATTAAATTTGTAAAATTTTACAGTATTTTCGTGAAATAACCAAATTTCACATAATAAAAATTCATTAAATTATATCAAATGAAAGCTATGGTATTGAACATTAAACATGCCAAAAAGAATTGAGGCATGCATTTCTAGCAATGGTTGGCCAACAAAATATTGATTGTTCATTTCAAAACTTATTTCAATTTTGCTGATCATTACAAATATAATTTTTTTAATTAAATTTCGTTTTTTTAAAATTAAAAAAGTTCTAGATAATAAAAAAAACTTTAAATTTCATATGCATAACCGTAAGAACCTAAGCTACAAAATGACATTTTTTATTTATTTTTTTATTATGTAATATTTTGCGGAATTTTCGAAAAACTGCGTTCGGATACTTTCTTCCAGGTACTGTATATATAAAGAGCAATACTATGCATTATTTGTCACCAAGGTTCACAAACTTGGTCTTAATGATTATTTGAAACTATTAGCTAAAATTTATCCTTATAAGGTAAAAAATATGTTCTTGAATTTTCAATCTTATTTTTTTTTTTTTTTTTTACAACTATTAATTATTTAAGCTTCTTAAACAGCAAATAATGAAGAATAATCTTCAGATTTTGGGTTTATGTGATCCAGTTGAGGAAAGTGACTTATCAGAAGAATTAAAAAAATATAGACCATGAAAAATCACTGCCACCTACAATAGAATACTTTATAGACTTCTGGATGACACCAGTTAAACTGAAACCATCTAATCCAGTATGGCCTAAAAAGGATCAAAAAACAAAAGAACAAGTTTTCTTATTCATTTATTACTCATACTTTTTAAAGTGAATTATTCAAAATACTTTATTTTGAACCATAAAAATCAATATACATAATTAACAAAAATTATTTTCATTTTCTTGCGACTCTAAAAGACCTTTGCTTCAGCTTCATAACCGTTAAGCAAAAAAAGTTTTTTTAATGATGTACACATAATACTTGTTTTTTAATTATAGAAATATCAATAATGTAATAGTATTCATTTAGAAATTTAGTGTTTGAATGTTCAAATTTTTTTTCTAACAATTCATTTTTTTCAAATTTTTTTTTAATTAAATTCAAATTTTTCTTCTAACAATTCGTTTTTTTTCATAATTTTTTTTTTAATTAACTAATGTTTGATGGTTGGTTTATAATCAGAATCTGATTCAAACTTCGTATCCTCCTTGGAATCTGTATAATCATAGTCTGATGACAATGATGGAGTTGAAGGAGGAGTTGAAGCAGTTGGATTTTTGTGTGCAAGAAACTGTATATAATCAAAAGCTTGTAACAATGTAGGTTGCTCTCCAATGTTAAAAGTATCATTTATGTAAAGGATGTTTGCATCTTGTCTCATAAACCATGTCTGGTTGTAAGTAGCCAATCCCAAATTGTAATTTATTTACAATCATGCAACCATATATTTGTTCAACACTATTAGTCACATCAGATGGTTCTTCAGAAATCATTACACCCAAACCTCTTGTATATTTGTCAGCAAGATTCTCATTGTTTGATGAAAGAACCCATCTTGTTTTAACTTCAATCACCAAAAGGATTTGAGAGAGATTAATATTCCTGTTTATCTGGCAACATACAAATTCTGGTTCACCAATCATAGATGGAAATGTAATATGGTGAATATATTCCTCTTTCAGTTCATGATGACATCCAGCTAAATTGAGCAATCTGAGTATGTTTATATTCAAGGCCTCATGAACACAATCTTCATCAGATATCCTGTCAAATTTTAGGAACTGTGGTGGTTCATATTTTTTACCTTTAACATCAAGTTTAAATGATGAAACTTTTTTTTAAAAATTCTTACTATTGGTATACTTTGTCTGGACGTTGTGCTGTTGAAGATTTTGTTGTGCAAACACCTTTTTTAAAATGTTGATAAACTTAAAATCAGTTTCTACAAATGGATAAATAAATAATCTTTTGTATATTTTTATCAGGATCTAACATATGCCCAATATCTACCTTCTGGGACATTTACATGTCCTCCACTTCCAAATAGAATAAAATTAACAATATATTAAATTGAATATTTTATAATATTAATCATCATTGAATACTAAATATTGGATTATTATTTTTTTTATAACTAGAGTGACAATGAGTGGTGACAACCACCATTCTTTTGACAAACATTTGTCCAGCAATTTCTTTGTTGTTTTCTTTATTTTTTCTACATTTTAATATCTTTTTTAGTTTGTAAAAAAAAGGCAAGTTAAAAAAACAAGGAATATCTTATATACAGAAAGGTTCTTTTTTTGAAATATACAGTACCCTACCAAAAATGGAAATTTATTATATAAAAAAGGAAAT